GTCAATTTTTCATTAGCCCCTGTCTCTCAGTGACTCACAGGAGATGCAGGCATTATCAGTGCATCACCCAAGAAGGTTAGATACACAAGAGGTAGACTGTAGACTTTCCAAACTGTTACCAGTTGTGAAGTGTGTTTGTGAAAGCAGCAAGACTTAGTATAGTGAATACTGCCACATTGTTGATATACATCTGCCCTACCCACAGCCTATCCAAACTCACTCTTGAATGAAATATAGGGGAACCATCTTTGTGAACAAACCACCCTACCAAAGAATTTAGAAAAAGGTGATAGTTTATCTTTTGTCTTCCTTTGTAGGTACTAAAGTCTAAAAGATAAAGAATCAGGTTACAAGTTCTGAACCAAATGCAGTAAACTGCAGTATTTCATATAAGAAATAATTAGAATACATAAAAGATCATCACTCTTTGGATTGAGATTTTTAACCTGTTTTGTTTTTCTACTTGGATATAGATCCCATAGGGCAGGATCTTAGACTTGTCTTTGATGCTGCTCCAATTGTAGTTAGAAATCAAAGCCAGCCAACCAGCTTGCTGTGGACAGCTTTCCCTTCACTTCCCATCTTCATCTCTTGCTAGAATCATTTCATCTCGGAGGCTCTGACCTTGTACAAATTCAGCACCTGGTGGCAGCGAGCCATCTCCCTGCTCTCTTCTTCCCACCCCAAGCAGATGGTTCGGCTATAAATAGCCATAAATCACAATTGCCATGTGTGAGGGTTTCCAACTACAAAATGCTTATTTGTTCTTAAAATTGCTGCTGTTGCTGCCGATGGGAGTTATTTGATCTATCTACATGACCATCCAAAACTAGATGATGAATCTAGCAAAAGCCGTTGCGGGATTAACTCTCTAAAGGCCCTCTTCTTTCCTATTTGAAGTCATGGATTATTCGTTTGGGGATATATTAGTCAGGATTCTGCAGAGGAGCACAAACATGTCATGAGGTCATAAACAGAAAGAACTTTATTTTAAGGAATCTAATCATGGGATTTTTGTGACTAGATCTAGACCTGATGGATTTGGATAGAAAAGACTTCAGAAGAAGAGACACTGAAAAAAGTTGAAGTTCAAATTTGAAGGCAGTGTGTTGTAGAATTAGGAAGAACTTAGATTGAAAATGAAGTCCATTGGTCTTTTGCTCAGGAACCAGAAGAACAGTGGCTGAGAATTAAGTTCAGAGTCTATGCTAGAGTGTACCTTCTTGTTTGGGGAGGGTCAATCTCTTGTTCAATCAAAGCTTTCCACTGATTACATTTGGTCCACCAACAGTAAAGGTAAAGGTAAAGGCCCTCCCGTTGATCATCGATTTGCTCGAGCGGGCCCAGTAACGTCTCCATTGGAGACTTTGTTGTTACTGTGTCTGGCATATCGAATACTCTCGGTAGCTTGCCGGGCTCTCCGAGAGGGGCAGAGGGATCGAACTCGGGTCAGCCGTGTTGGCCGCTTGTAAGGCGAACGCCCTACCCACTGTGCTATCGCTCCTGCCCTTGGAGGGAAACTTACTATACTCCACTGACTCATTCATCTGTCTTTATTGAGGTAACATTGCTTTATATGAGTGTAATGTTGGCACACTTTAGGGGTTCAGTGTTACCACACCACAGTCATTATATGCTAATATCCTTTCACTGCAGTCCACAGGACCCTTTCAATCCACCCAGCCCCACACAAATACACTTGACAATCTCAGTTCTATAGTCTAAGGTTTTGGTTTCATTACACACTGTTTATTCTCTTGCTTTGTTTCTTTCTATGCAACTCTGAATAAAATTATTCAGTATTTATCTTTCTTCAAATGTTAATCTCTTCAAAAACACCCTGGCAGAAACTTCCAGAGTTATGTCTGATCATTTGCATAGGTCTCATGACTCAGGAAAGTTGACAGATAAAATTAACCATTATGGTTTGTTTGATTTGGGGACAATTATTTTTTTTCTAGTCTTCTTAGATCCTTGAGGTTATTATTGCTTCTACAGCATTTATCAAAACCAGAACCTCTTGTTGTCCCAAGCCTGCAACCCAGCACACCCACTGACTAGCAATTTTCCCTGAAACCTCCAGTTCTACCCTGGCACTAGATCCACCTTAAATTATTTTTAGGATCAAATGACAGAACTATAGAATGCCCATCTCTGTGAATACACATTCATGTTGAAACTATGGTTCAAAGTTTAGTTTATGTATCAGAGTCCTACTCTTAAAACCAACAATAAGGAAATAGAAATGCCCTCCTGTGAAGCATGTTACAGCTGTGGGCACATAGAATAAAGGACAGATAACTAAAGGAAGTGTCTTCCGGGGAGGACAAGGACATTAAGGATTCAGAGAAGCTTGCAAGACCACAGCACATGATGTTTGAAGATCCCACAGTCTCAAAGTTAAAGTTCACAGAATTTTCTTCCAAGGTTGAAAGTAAAGAAAGTGGGCAGGCCCAGATCCTGTGCCCATGAATCCTGAAGGGATGTCAAGTAGTGGGGGTGCTGTGACAACTGAAGCAAAGAGACCCCAGGTGAGACAGGGCTGTTCTTGAGACACTACTCTAACAACCAGACAGGGCTTCGCATTCCCATCTTCAATGTACCTTGAGCATCTCATGCGACCTCAGGTTGGATTATTAAGTTTGAAGTTGCTGCAGGCATAGCTCACCTCTGATGCAGAGCTACTGTTCTTTCAAAGCCTGGAGAGTGTATACACTCACTTTGCTCTATGGTTAGCTTTCTCTGTCCTCCTTTTCACAGCAAGATTCAAGATTCCACAGCAAGACCTAGCTGACAATTTCATGTAATTTCTCTATTTTTAAAAAATGATACCAGGCGTAAGCGTAACCCCTGAGCATTGCCAGGTGTGGTCCCGAAAGTAAAAAAGTAAGATAAAATATAAATGATGCCAGGCTCAAGGATGCAGGGAGAGAGCTCACAGATTGGGGCATAAGCCCAGCATGTACAAGACTCCAAGGTTGCTCCCTAATGCCTTAGCAGAATCCTACTCCCGAGTCGAAGCATTAAGTCACCCTGCCCCATTGGCTATTGTGAGTTGCCCTGAGGGACCGTGAGTAGTGATTGGAAGCCCATCCCCGGTCCTAGAGTGTCTAGTCTATAGTTTCCTAGTCCCCAAAGCTTCCATGTCTTAAATTACTCTACAGGGGACCAAGGTGGGAAGTCATTACCCCCAGGGCTAGTGATTCTCAGGCCCTTCTCTCCAGACATTGAGAAGTTCTTTTTTTATTTTTTTATATTTTTATATTTATCTGGTTTTATTGCCTTTTTAAAATTTTTTTTATTTTTATTTTTTTATTAGTGAAACACAATGAGGTACAGTTATAGACTTATAAATTTTTGTGTTTGGGTTTCAGTTATACAATGATCAAGTACCCATCCCTCCGCCAGTGCCCATCATCCACCACCACAGGTCCCAGCATCCCTCCCACCCCCCATCCCCCCATCCCACCCTGCCTCTGTGGCAGGGCATTCCCCCTTGTTCTCTCTCTCTTCTTTTGGGTACTGTGTTTTGCAAGAGAGGCCTTGAGTGGCAATCATGTTTGGTCTATAAACTACTTTTAGCATGCTTCTCCCACCCTGGGAGGGTCCTCACAACACCCTTTATTTGGTGCTCTCTTCTCTATCTGAGCTTCCTTTTCACCTAGCACGTGTGGCTGGCCTTCAAGTCATGGAGCAAAATTCCTGGTACTAATCTCAGCCATTCCTGGGTGTTAGTCTCCCATTTTGTTGCTTTATGTTCCCCAGATGAATGCAATCTTTCTGTGTCTATCCCACTCTTTCTGACTCCTTTCACGTAACATGATACTTTCCATGTAGTACCACTTGTATGTAAATTTCATAACTTCATCTTTTCTAACAGCTACATAGTACTCCATTGTGTAAATGTACCAAAGTTTCTTTAACCAGTCATCTGTTCTCGGGCACTCAGGTTTTTTCCAGATTCTGGCTATTGTAAAGAGTGCTGCAATGAATGAGTTCTTTTTTTTAATTTAATTTAATTTAATTTAATTTTACTGAATCACCATGAGATACAGTTACAAAACTTTCATGATTGAGTTTCAGTCATACAATGATTGAACACTCATCCCTTCACCAGTGCCATTTTCCACCACCAATGTTCCCAGTATCCCTTGAAATCCTGACTCACTTAAAGTCTCTGGTTTAAAGACTTTGGTGGAGAATCTTAGATGCTTTGGTGGTGTTGAGTTGCAGTAACAGAATACAGTGACCAAAAATTGGCCATTATTGTCAATGTGTGATAAAAACTATAAAAATAAAAGTTTATTTCTTAAAATTTATGTCATTGTACATTTGTAACTGTTTAGTAGGAATTGAATTATTATTCATGCATTCAACTTTAAGGGCACCCTTGGATGGACTCAAATAGGACACCCTCATTTTCTAACCAAGGTAAAGATTTTGTGGGTCCAACAAACCTTTAAAGGATATAGCCCCAAGATTCAGCAAAGACCATGTGTAAACATTTTGCAGTATCCTTGCTGTATGAAAAACACCTTATTTCCATTTCCCCTATTGATGATAAACACCCAGCTAACTCCAGTTCAGTGCTCAGGGATCACTCCTGGTAGTACTTGGTAGACCAGATAGGATGAATCCAGGTTGGCTACATGCAACGTAAATACTATACCTGCTTTACTCTCTCTCCAGCCCCCAGCAGGGTTTTTTATGGTATCTTTTTTCATATATGCCAGACCCCTTTGACACTTCTATGCCAACTTTTTTGCATATGCATTTGTATTTTCTTTTTCTGAGAACTGCAGCTGAAAACTTATAGGGTGCTTTTATTCTCTTTGTAATAACAGACCTCACTTTTTAATAATAAGACCTCACTTTTTAGTGTGAGACAGGGTGTGGCTGGTGAAGCTTTAGAGGATAAACAGTTTTGTTTTAAATTTTGGAAACAAAACTCAGATCTATAAACAATTTGCTCATATTGTTTTTCTACCACTTCTTCGTAGGAATGCCCCAGCGGAGTTGTTAATGAAGAAACCTTCAAAGAGATTTACTCGCAGTTCTTTCCACAGGGAGGTGAGTACAGACATGGGTTAGTTAAGAGAATCTCTGTTAGAATTATTCTTGCAGCCTTGATTTGGGTCATAGTTTCATGGCTGCACATTTTTAATCTTCTTGAAAAAGATTTGCAGGCAAGTATGTAAATTGTATTGTAAAGTGAACTAACTTGTTGCAAGAGATCAAATAGCTAACATGCACTCCAATTTACAACATGTAGTATTTCTGCTGTCTTGAGCCCTTGTTCTCCAATGAAATTCATACTTTATGTTTTATATAGGTCTCATCTTCCTTTTCCAACTCTCCAAATTGGGACAAATATAATTACCCTCAATTTCCAGATGTGAAATCTGGGACTCTGCAAAGTCAAGCTATTTTCTCAGGGTCACTGATCCACTGTGTAGCAGATCTGGGTCAGAACCTAGATTTTCCTCTCCCTTTCCTGGGCGTTCTTTCTGCCATCTCTCTTCCTCTAACTCTTCACTGTGCTAGAACTTGGGGTAAATGGAAATTGACACTAGGTCAAGGAGAGACTCAGGCAAGCTCATGGACAAGCATGAACGACAGGGTGATGCTTAGCTGGCTCTCAAACAATGGCACAGAGGGAAGAGAAACATGTTCCCATGTAGTGATGGGAAGCTAAATTATTAGGATCATGGGCCAGGTGCACAGAGCACACTTCCACATTCACCTCCTTGCATGTTCAATCTCCTTTCCTCGGTGTTATTTTAGGTATTAAAATGGGGGGGGGGGAGGAGTTTGAGAGGTAGTTCAGAGATTAGGGGCTTATCTTGCATGTGACCAACCTGGGTTTAATTCCCAGCATCATATGGACCTTAAGTAAAGAGCCAGAAGAAAGCTCTGAGCACTGCTGAGGACAGCCCTAAAACCAATTTTGTTTCGTTTGTTTAATGAGGGGAAAAGTTGGTGATGAGTTAGCACAGGTTTTTATTTTGGCATGAGCTTAGTCTGTCTTCTGCTGAATTTCCTTTCATGTAAACATCTCTCCTCTGCATTTCTAACTGCTCAAATAAAAATGTTTTAAAGGGCAAGAGAGCTATATCAGGAGGAAAAGTGCTTTCCTAATATGCAGCCAGGGTCAGATTTAGTCCCAGTACTGAGTGGCCTCCTAATACTACCAGAGACCACTCAATCCTGAGCACAGAGCTGTAAAAGCCCTGAGTATGACCTGGTTTGGCCACAGCCCCATCCCCCACTCCCCCGCTGCTACCACCACCTGCAATGATAACTTAGTCTGGTTTTATTTTAATGTGAGAACACAGATTCTTTGTAGTGAAAACAGGGTGAGAACCTGAACACAGTCTATCCCAGCTCCATGCAGCCTTGCCTCACATCTAAGGAAACCTGACTATTGAATAGTACACTGAGTGCTGTAAAGGATATTGCTTAAATGGAAAAGAAAACAAGGCGAGCATAATGATGCTTCACTTTCATAACATATGTGTTAGGGTTGAGCGAAGAAATAAATTTGCTTCTGGACTCAAAAATTTTCTCCTTTCAATAGGGAACTAGCTCAAATATGTCACACAAACTGCTGTGTGCCCAGCAAAGTGTTAGGTACAAATAAGTAAGAGAAATCAGAGGAATAGAACATGGTACCTACTCAAAAGAATGTTGGAGCAAAGAACCACAGATGAGCAGTCTTACGTATAGGTGGGAAGAGAGGGATTTTAAATAGATAGTGTTACAGGCACAAGGAGGCCAACTGGAAGGCAGGGAATAAATCAAAAGCACTATGCAACTAAACTGAACTCACTAATTGAATCAACCCCATACACAAAGTGTCCAATCATCCCCAATGATGAAGTGTGTCCCTAATCCCGGCATGCATGATTTTTCATAATCTTTTAATAGCTTAACTATGGTCTTCATTTTCTATGACTGTGGAACTGGCATGCAGAGCTTTCATCCCTTTACTTGCCATCATCATTTTGGCTGTTTTTCCGTAAAGATATCTGTGAGTTCACATGGCAGCGTGCATGTGATGTGATAACGCATGTACGTTTGGTGGCTGAGGTCCGCCTCCCATCCTTCCCAGGGCTCCCCAGCAAAGAGACAGAGAGATGGGGACCACAGCCTGATGGTGAAAATTGCCTATTTAGTGCAGACCTGTTAGCATACTTAAAGGACATCTGAAGGGGTCAGAGGTGTAGGACTGCATGTCCATGATTTACAGAGATAAAACATTCCAGCAGAGGCAAGTCTATAGGGGAGATAAACTCAAAGAGACGCTCTGTCCCCAGGAATATCTATATTGCTTTTCTCTTTCCTTCCAGTCGTACATGTCAAGCAATTAAGTCAAACAGTTAGTCAATTCATTCTACTTCTTACCAATACTTGCAATCATCTGGATAGACATGGCAAGAGATAAAGGTCCCAAAACTTAGTTCTCTGGACTCTGAGAGCAAGCAAGGTTTTTACCGTAAATCCCAGACTGAGTCCTCAGGTCAGTTCAGCTTGTCCTTCCCCATGGGGTTCCTGTCTCTGAAGTCATAACAGCTTGCATCAAGACCATGCATTTATACTTTCTAGACTGTCCCATTTCTATGCCAGGATAGCTTTGCCACTCACCCTGGGTCCATCCCAGTCCCACAGCGGGACCTCACTTTTTGGGTGTTAAGAACTATAGTAACTGAAGCCTGAGTCAAGTAATTATGACCAAGTAATTATGCCCAGGAGTAGTATATTTCAGAGTCAATAAACTCCCAAATATTAGGAGCATAACATTAAGATCTTTCTGCGTTTAAGCAAAGAGCATGGTTCTATAGTAAAATATGAAAAGGCTATCAGGGAAATAGAAAAGCAAGTAATTCACTGCAAATACAAAATCCAGAATTACCATAAAGTTTTGGCTTATAAATAACCAAGATTGACTTGGGGAACTGTGACAATGAGGTGTAAAACACAAAGGGAAGGTTAAAGATAAACTCAGGGGATTAAAGATGCTCACAAGAGCACTGTAAGCTTTGCTGGGAGAAGGAAGGGGGCAATTCACTGAAGAAGCCTAAAGCACTTAGGGTTCATATCCAACAGTTATCACCATCACTGAATGCTAAAATAATTGAAACAATATCTTTGTGGTTCTAGACCTCCTTCTTGATTCCCCACTAAAGTTTGTTCTAAACATGAGCCAGAGTGAGCCTTCAAATGGAAGGCTCAAATGTCATTTCTCTGTTCGAAAAATTGCATCTCATCAATCATCACCAGTATTACCTACAAGATATGGTCACACTTATTACTCATCCTTACCTACTCTCCACCTTGATTCTTGATGTCCCAACCACATCAGCCTTATAGTTATTCCACCAATGTCTCAGTCATACTGTTGCTTCTGGGACTTTGCACTTGCTCTTCCCTCTATTTCAAATTTCCTCTATTTTAAATTTCCCCAACACATTTCAATATTACACCACCTCTCTTCAGGTTCACCTTCTTGTGGAAGCTTATCCTGATTAACTTCCTAAACTAGAAATATATATATATATATTCCTTATATATCTATATATCACTTAATCACTTAATCCCCATTATTCATCGATTTACTCGAGCAGGTGCCAGTAACGTCTCCATTCATCCCGGTTGCATGCTAGCGTCGCCCAATGGTATCTGTTCGTTCTAGGAACATGCAGAGCCTCAAACCGATCATTCAGGGTCTTGACGAAGAAGTCTGACCATCTAGTAGGTGGGCGTCCACGTGATCTTTTGATGTCCCGTGGAATCCAATCAGTAATGGCTCTAGTCCAGCGGTTGTCTGTAAACCTTATTAAGTGTCCAGCCCATCTGATTTTTGATGTCTTGGCAAATGAGACAGCATCCCTGATTCTTGAGCGTTGACGAAGATCAGAACTCTGGATTCTCTCATTTGAGTGAATCGTGATATTCCTAGCATAGCTCTTTCGATTCCTCTTTGAGAGACCCGAATAGCGTTCTCATCCTGTTTTCGTAGGGTCCAGGTCTCTGAGGCATATGTTAATGCAGGAAGAACAGTGGAATCAAAGAGATGTGCTCGTAGCTGGAGGTTCTTTGTCCTTTTAGTTATTTCTTCAACGTTCTTGAAGGCATTCCAAGCCGCTCTCTTCCTCCTGCGCAACTCAGGTGCCAGGTCATTCATCATGTTGATTTCTCAACCTAGGTATATATAACTGTTGCATTCGGAGATGGTGGTTCCATTGAGAGCGAATGGAGCGTCAGGAACAAGGCTGTTACTCATAAACATTGTCTTCGTAAGATTCAGCTGTAGTCCGACCTTTCCACATTCACGGTCAAAGTCGTTCAGCATTTGTGCCGCTTGGCTGATGTTTGGTGTTATTAGAACGATGTCATCAGCAAAGTGGAGGTGGTGTAGTTGCCGACCATCTATCTTCACTCCCATGTTTTCCCATTCCAGTCGTCGCATGATGTTCTCGAGGGTGGCACTGAAGAGTTTTGGTGAAATGATATCACCCTGCCGAACCCCTCTCTTGATATGGATGATTACTTCTTTGTAGAATGGTATATATATATATATATATATATATTCCTTATATATCCCCATGGCCCTTCAGTTTCTTATAGCAATCAAGAGAAGCTACTAACATATAGTTTACCTGTGTTTGTTGTTGTTTAGTATTTACTTCCTCACCAAAATGTCATCCCTAAGAGAACAGAGGTTTCTGTCTGGTTTATTCACTAATGTATACATAGGTCCTGGGACAGTGATTGACAGGCAGTATTTGGTAAATATAACATAAATGAGAACATCCATGCATGAATCAATGGCGCTCTTTTCACATGGTGACTTTAAAATTGCAATGCAGTAATTGTTGCAAAAGGCACTTTGCGATATCAAGAATTAATTATTACATGTTTACTATCCAAAAAATAGATTCTCTTTAAGTTTTCGATCCATTTGGGTTTTGAAATTTCAGTGGGTTGAAGACAGTTTCATAGATGGGTTCTCAAATTTTGGGAACTTCTATTAAATATGATCTTTTAAGACACAAAACAAGGGGCTTGAG